TGGCTTTTGCCTTGGAACTCTCCCATGGATGCCGTTTTTGCCCAGTCTCTTTCTTATTGTTGAATCATGAACACTGACCTTAATTGAGGCAAGTGAGGCCTGCAGTTCTTTAGATGTTGTTCTGGGTTCTTTTATAACCTCCTGGATGAGTCGTCATTGCGCTCTTGGAGTAATTTTGGTAGGCCAGCCACTCCTGGGAAGGTTCACCACCAAGTTTTCTCCATTTGTGTATAATGGCTCTGACCATGGTTCGCTGGAGTCCCAAAACCTTAGGAATGGCTTTATAACTCTTTCCAGACTGATACATGTCAACTGTTTTGTTCCTCATCTGTTCATGAATTTCTTTAGATCACGGCATAATGTGTTGCTCTTTAAGCATGCTTCACTTTATCAGACAGGTTCTATTTAAGGGTGCTTTCACACTAGCACTTTTGGTGCGCACCCGGGTTCGATTGACATCAGAGTTTGGTTCGTTTGGATGATGTGAACGCTGTCTTCCGAACTTGGGTGCGCACCCGCGAACCGTACCCGAGTCCGCTTAAAAAGGGTGGTCTGGGGTACGGTTCAAGTGAACGCCGGTACGGGTCCAGCTTTCTAAAATAATGTGGTTAATCACAGTTCTTTCATGAACGAGGAGGGGACAATACATTTTTCACGTAGGGCCAGGTAGGTTTGGACAGCTTTTTTCCCTTAATAAATGAAATCATCATTTAAAAACTGCATTTTGTATTCACTTGCATTATCTTTGTGTAATATTAAAATTTGTTTGATGATCTGAATCTTTTAAGTGTGACAAATATGCAAGGGGGAAGGGGGCAAAAACCTTTTCACGGCACTCTATCATTTAAACTGTAAATTTTATGGTCAGAGTGAGCAACTACAACATAACATATATAGTTTCAATGTTTTTTTTTTTATATTTTGGTCCTTTTTTATTAGGTGTCATTTGGGAGGGACTTTGAGCAGCAGTTGAGTTTCTGTGTGGAAGCCAGGGCAACTTTCTGTAATCTGGAGCCCATCATCATTCACCTGATTCATGTGAGCAGCCTGTGTCCTAATGGATGTATGTTTTTATGCCAGAGATTTCCAAATCTTTCTGTATGCTTGAAATGCCCCCTGCGATTGAATATTTCAATAATTTGTAAACACATTTGCATGTTCACCGTTATATAATGTTGGTAAATGTTCAATATATATATACACAGACACTGTGTGTGTGTGTGTGTGTGTGTGTGTGTGTGTGTGTGTGTGTGTGTGTATATATATACTATGTGTTTATATAATAAATGAGTTATAATATTTATATAATTCTATGTGTTTGTAATTATATAATATAATGAGTGTATTATATATAACATTATATTATATAATTTGAGTGCATATTTTTGTTTTCAGCAAACAACTGTGTTTTCATGTCAGTGTATGTCTTCTCACTTATGCATTTCTATATTGTTTTTGTAGTAAATTTATCTCTTCCACCAAGGTCACTTTGCAGCCTGCATTTCATGCATTCATGCAGGGGCGTCATGCATTCATTATTTTTGGGGGGGGGGGGGCCGACCGGGGAACGAGAGAATTCGCCAGAAAGAGGTATTCAGTCAGCGAGCGAGTGAAGAAAACACGGCATTTTAGCGATGACTCATCTGAACACCTCTGATTGGTCATTACATTCATAAGCTCAACAGCATCGTGTGTGATTGGTTATAATGCAGTGCTGTAAAAACACGTCTGTATCTGGCTCAGCGCCAGCCAGCGAACGCAGATTTTAATTTAGCAGCTGATGATATGACGCACTGAACGTTAATCACGCCGGTGTGATTGTATTAAATATAGAAAATATTAATCGGCTATTTTTTGTGTTTTGGAAGCTGCATTCAAAATCCACTTGGCTCAAAAATCTGAGGGGGCACGTGCCTCTGCGTTCATGATACGTGTTGACAGAGCTGTAGTATCTGATCAGGGTCATGATAGAGGATTTATTAAAACACATTATTCATATTCATGTGCCTATGGGTTTTATTGTAGTAAGCAGATTGAAATGGCATGCTGTAAAGTCTAACATTAGTCTAATGGAGTGCTGAGGGACTGTCTGTCATGATGATATGAATGTCTTTCTTACAGACGGTGAATCAGTTAGCCATGGAGACCAGACGTGTAATGAAAGGCAATCACTCACGTAAAACAGCTGCTTTTGTCAGGGTTAGTTTTTTTTTCTGTGTCACTTTTACATAATGGTTGAATCTTATGAGGAATTTTTTCAAGTTGTAATTTGTAAATTGTAATTGACAGGCTTCAGGAGATTCCCTCTAATACAATTGGATCCCTGCTTTATCCCATTTTAGCCCATAAGTGACTGAGTTTTTGCTGCCTGTTGTGTGTTTATTTGCAGGCATGTGCTACCTACGGTTTCATCACCATTCCGTCCCTCACCAGTATCTTCAGCCGTCTCAACCTCTATCTGCTCTCTGGACAGGTAGCACTGGCCAACCAGTGTCTGTCCCAAGGTGAGTGCTGGAGCCTCTCTTAGACTGAAGATACTCTTGTACATCCTTGATCCAGCCTCTCATTGTGAAGGATAATTCAAATACACTACCGTTCAAAATAAACCATAATGTTGTGAAATAAAATGTAATTTATTCCTGTGATAGAACAACAGCCATTACTCCAGTTTTCAGTTTCACATAATCCATCAGAAATTATTTTAATATGCTGATTATCTTTTAATATGATCAATAATTTTTTCTTTGCTGTGTAATATTTTTGTGGAAACAGTGATACATTATTTTCAGGATTCTTTGATGAATAGAAAGTGCCTTACTCTCGGTTGTTGAAGCTGGCTTCCAAATCTTCAATACTTATCTTGCTGGATCTGTCCACTGCTTTTGACACGGTTAACCACTAGATCCTCCTGTCAACCCTATTGGCAAAGCACATCTCAGGAACGGCACTCCAGTGGTTTGAGTCTTACCTCTCAGATAGGTCCTTCAAGGTATCTTGGAGGAGTGAGGTGTCCAAGCCGCAACATCTAGTTACTGGGGTGCTTCAGGGCTCAGTTCTCGGACCACTTCTCTTCTCTGTCTACATGGCATCACTAGGTTCTGTCTTTCAAAAACATGGCTTTTCTTATCACTGCTATGCTGATGACACTAAACTTTACCTCTCATTCCATCCTGACGATCCTAAGATAGCTGCTTGCATCTCAGCATGTATAACAGACATTTCTTACTGGATGAAAGGACCATCACCTTCAACTCTTCATCACCTTCAAGACAGAACTGCTTGTGGTTTCAACAAACCCATCACAATCTCACCATCCAGCTAGGCGCATCAAACATAACTCCTTCAAAGACAGCCAGAAATTTGGAGTTGTGATTGATGATCAGCTGAACTTCTCAGACCACACTGCTAAAACTGTCTGCTCCTGCATATTTGCGTTATACAACATTAGGAAGATCAGGCCCTTTCTTTCGGAATATGTTCAAGCTCTTGTTTTGTCCAGACTGGACTATTGCAATGCTTTCTTGGCAGGTCTTCCAGCCAGGTCTACGAGCCGAAAAGAGTCACACCTCTGTTCATCAATTTGCACTGTCTACCAGTAGCTGCTCGCATAAAATTTGAGGCATTGATGTTTGCCTACAAAACCACCACTGGCTCTGCACCCCTGTACTTGAATTCACTACTTCAGACTTGTGTGCCCTCTAGAAGCTTGCGTTCTGCAAATGAATGGCACATTATACTGCCATCCCAAAGATGCACAAAATCACTTTCACAGACTTTTACATTAACTGTTCCCTCCTGGTGGAATGACCTTCCCAACTCAATCCAAGCTGCTGAATCCTTAGCCATCTTCAAGAAACGGCTGAAAACACATATTTTCCATCTTCATTTGACCCTCTAACACTAGCACTCTCTATTCTAATTCTATTTTATCTACTTGTTTTTTTTTTATTAAAAAAAAATATATTTTCTGTTCTAACTACTTGTTTTATTTAAAAAGAAAAGCAAAACACTAACACTAGCATTCTCTGTCTGTTATACATATTTATTTTCTTTTTATTTATTATAAATAATGACCCTCTAACACTAGCATTCTCTGTTCTTTTTCTATTCGTTTGACTTATTTTTATTTTTAAAAATTCTATCTGCTTGTTTCTATTCTATCCATTTGTTTTCTTTTTATTTATTATAATAAAAAAAAACTTGCTACGTATACTGCGTTAGGCTAACCGAGAGTTGTCACAGCACTTCCTGTACATATTATTGCTCTTTTGATAGTTTTGATTGCTTCTATAATTATTTTTGTAATAAATGTCTTTACAGTCATAGTTCATCAATTTAATAATCAATAAAAGTATTAATTTCTTAAAAAATAAAATTTCTTCCAATTTTTGAAAGGTAGTGTATTGTGGTTTTCCCCAAAATATTAAGCAACAAAAGCTGATTTCAACATTGCTAATAATAAGAAATATTTATTAAGCACCAAATCAGCCTATTATAATGTTTTCCGAGGGTTCATGTTTGAAATTGCATTATTTAAATAATATTTCACAATTTTACTGTTTTTACTGTTTCTTTGATCAAATAAATACAGCCTTGATGAACATCAGAGACTTCTTTCCAAAGATCTTAAAGATTCCAAACTTTCAGATGTATGTGTACAAAACTGACCTCATATCAGTGCAAAGAGGACCCTCTGCCATGATCAGCCAAGATTGGGTGTGATGGTATAGATTTGATATGGACTGTGAAAACTTAATTTTAATTTCTGTGTCTATTTCTCAGCGGATGCATTTCTGAAGGCAGCAGTCAGTCTTTTGCCAGAAGTCCCGCGAACCATCAGCATTGAGGGTAAACAGCGATCGTCTGAGCCCTTCCTCCTCGACTTCATTAACAACTTCCTCTCCACACTGCTCGTAGTGCCGGTAATACATGCTTAAATATCTGTAGGAGTGTTTTAGCCTCATCTCGCTAGTACATATCTAAGCGTGATTGTTGACTTGGTCTCGTAGGATCATCCGGAGCAGGGTGTGCTGTATCTGGTGCGAGGGCTGTTGAATATGGTGCAGGACTACACCTGGGAGGACAACAGTGACGCTAAGATCCGCGTCTACATCAGCGCTTTACCATTACTAGCAGCAATGAGCCAAGAAAGCTATCTTTACACCATTCCTAAAGGTACCGCAGTGAATAAATGCAGACATGTTCTCTAATAAACACATCGGCTTAATGTCTTTCTGACATTGAAGTCTAAATGGAAGCATGTTTGTTCCTGTTGCAGTGGATTCCAACGAAACCCTCTATGGAGGAGATCCCAAGTTCATCGCAGAGATCAACAAGTTGTGTGAGACACTGATCAGTCAGGTTCTGGATCATTTAAAGGAGCTGGGCCAAGATGAGGTGAGATACTGTGTCTCTAAAAGTATCTGCACCCTTCAGACATTATCATAAATTTTTCAATGTCTCAATGCATTAGACAACAAAATATCAAGGTATAGACGCTTTTTAAGGTTTTACAAGATAAAACAATAAGTATGGTGTTCAAAATGAAAGTATTGTGACACTTTGTGGTTGTTGACAATGGACATTAGAGGTAAAACGATATTCACCCCCGGGATCACAGACAAGGCTTAAGCCTAGTCCCCGACTAAAATGTAAGTCTGAGCTGTTTCAACTGAAAGAAACTTGCACTGATTGATCTTGAAATATGTCAGTGCCCTTGTTTTGTCTCCAGATGCACACCAGTAATGTTTTTTCTAAGGCATGTTTATAAAAATTACTTTAAAATCCTAATTGAACTATGGCCTAGTCCTGGTTTAAGCTAAGCCCCGTCTGTGAAACCGGGCCATAGTGTTTGCCGATTAATCAGCACTGATAGTTTATCGGTTATCGGTAAAAATCAGCGGCAAAAGTTGCTGAACGTTTGTTTTTTTCTTTTTTGTTTAATTCATCTGTGTTCTTTGTGGCCAGAGTCTGGGTTCTACATTGGAAGTTTTGGTTCACAGTATAAAAGTGTCCACGGACACTGAAGAAACGAATTAAAAACATTGATAGAGAAGAGTTACAGTACATATTAGTTGTGTTACAATAAACCAAAGTCAATAATCCAAAATGTCTGAATTCACCATTTTAAACAGAAAAAGATGTCACTTCTGATTCATGAATTCTCATCCAGCAAGCTTTTACTTTAAGGGGTTGAGAGGAGCTATTGCTATAATCATGAGCAGTGTTGTTAGTTCACCCAGAAATGAAAATTCTGTCATTAATTACTCACTCTCATGTCATTCCAAACCCGTAAGACCTTCGTTCATCTTCAGAACACAAATTAAGATATTTTTGATGAAATCCGAGAGCTCTCTGACCCTCCATAGACAGCAACACAACTGAAATGTTCCCAGGTCCAGAAACGTAACAAGGACATCGGTAAAATAGTCCATGTGACATCTAGGGCTGTCAAAAAAAAAATTCGAATTTCGAATATTCGTTGAATTTAAAATAAAAATCCACATTCGAATGCAAAAATGTTGCATTCGAATTTTAGGTGTGTGTTAAGGAGGCAGCCTTATCAGTGGCGCATGAGATGCAATGACGATGTAAGTGACGTTGCTTTTTAATGTTTTTGTTAGCCTATCCAGTTGAAGCCACTAGATGCGGCGCTGCTGCGTTGTTAATTACA